GTTAGTGTTGCTTTGTCCACCGCCGAGGCAGAATATGTCGCTGCGGGAAGTTGTTGCGCCCAGATTCTTTGGATGAAACAACAACTTTTGGATTATGGCCTTGTACTTGATCATATTCCTTTGAGATGTGATAATATGAGTGCTATAAATATTACGAAGAATCCAGTTCATCACTCTCGTACAAAGCATATTGATATACGACATCACTTTATTAGAGACCATGTCCAAAAGGGTGATGTAGACATTGAATTTGTCGATACAACTAATCAGTTGGCCGACATTTTTACTAAACCTTTGGATCGTGAGAATTTTTGTCGTATTAGAAATGCCTTAGGAATTATTGCCATTACTTAAGTTAATATTTTTATTTTTTTATTTATTCTATTTAATTTTATACTAACTTAGGCATCGGAGTGGCCTTAATTCTTTTTTTGCAGGTTCTCACCCATCCACTCCTCTTTCTCAATCCATATGAAGCATTTATTGAGGGGGAATTCTACTTTGACTTTAGTTTTTTGAAGATTTTCAAAGGATTGCTCAGCTACAGTGTTTTATTCGAATAGTTTGGGAAACTAATCGAACAAGTTTGTTGCTTAAAATTCCAGTGTCGCGGCTCAACATTATTTATTCGAATAAGTGAGCCCCCCTATTCGAATAAATGAGATCAATATTTTTAAAAGGTCTTCATTCAGTCAAACCTTCTATCTCTCAAAAAAACCCAATCGCGCCTCTTTCTCTCTCAGCGGCAAACCCTAGGTCGCAGTTCTTCATCTTCTCTGGCGTCTCATCACCTCCTTCGCCACTTCTCTACCGGAATTCATGGCTTCTCGCACCAAGAAGAAGACTTCACGGCCTTCTACTCAAGCTACTCATCCGGGCTCCTCTTCTCAACCTCCTACTTCAAACAAAAATCAAAGGTTCGAATTTGCTCTCAACCCTAGAATTTTCTTTGATAGTGAAGAAGCTTTGAATTTCTATCGTGACGATGTACTTCCCCGGAAAATTATCACCCCTCGTTATGTTGAACTTGTTGATTTTGAGCGAGATACTTCTTATGAACCAGTTTTGTCTAAGCTTCGTTCTTCGGGGTTGATAAATGTTGTGACAATTCATGAATCTCATATCCCGGTTAATTATATTAAAGCTTTCTACTCCGATATGACTTTCAAGCGTAGAAATCATCA